TGGTACGTAGCGCTGGGTCCTGAGGAGTACGCATGCCTAGGACAGCCAGTACCACGAAGATCCGAGGACACTCTGCACGGACGGTAGCGTCATCAGAGGGGTGTTCTTTTCTTTTCTCTTTATGATTTTTCCTTTTTTTTAATTCAGCACATATGGTCATTACCATCCATCAGTGGTGTTTTCGGCCGCGTGCGTACACGAGCATCAAATGATGGTTTTTGCACCATCGCCATTGAAGTCTAATTAAACAATGCATACTAACTTTGCACTGACGTTTTGTTAGTGTATCGGATTTTTGTCCGCAGTCTCACAAACGTCACATCTACAACCAGATCCGCCCTATAAAATAGAGGCTATCACTCCTTCGCCACTGTTGAGCTCGGCCCCGGTTATTTTTCCTTTTTACCTTGTGTGAACTCAATTATGCAAGTGTATATATTTCAAATATTATTATTATTTCTTGCTTGCACCGTTTTATATGTTCAGGTAATCTACTTCGACAGTGTCACACAGTCACTTCGGCAAGCCGACGTCGTCGTCCCAATCGGCATATATCGGCTCGCGTGATCACCTTATTGGTCGAACTGGCATACCAACATGTTCGGGTGCCTCGGGGACTTCGGCATCGCTGAGAGAGCTCTACCTCATCGAGTGTTCGACACACGGACCATATTTCTTTTATTACTTACTTTGCATAAATTATTAATTATGCAACGATTTTTTTAATTTATTATTATTACTACTATCTCCGGCTTGCATTGTTTTCTGTGCACAAGTAAATGCTTCGGGTTAGGCAGCGCTGTCACCTCGGCTGGACTGGGGGCTTCGTCATCACTTCATTAACCCACACCGGGGACTTCGGCGTCATACTGCCGGCCTGCTCTGTTGCCTCGGTCGGGCTGGGGGTTCCACCTCGCCACATTGGCCATGCTATGTCGCCACTCCGGAGTGCCAAACTCCTTGCTCGGACACCTCGGGCTTGGGGGCTGGGACCTCGGCCATGCCGAGGACTGCGAACCTTGTCGGATCACAGATCAATGGGCGTCTTCGTCCCGCCACAAGCCTGAATCGCGTCATCAACACCGAGCACAATAACCAGCCAAGTCGCTTTCATGCTAAAAAACTTTTAGTTTTAAATTTTATTCGGTTCGACCAAGCATTATAATTTTTTGGCAAAAAGTTATTTTTGAAAAACTTCTTTGTCAAAACTTTGTGTGTGACACACAAATTCAAATACCCCGTTTACTTGTGAGCTTCCTTTATGAAGCCTTTCCTCTTGCATATGATTATACTTGTATGGCTTCATTCCTTGTTTGTGTATTACGCCACAATATGCACCATGTTGACTTAAGTGTTCCGCATGCTGGGTTGCCTTGCTCCTGTGTTTACCCCTACGTTCCCGATTGTTCGGCTAGGGAGTAAAGGGAGCACCTCTGCGATTGTCATGATCGGGTCATCTGAGCTCGGACCTTAGACTGGGTGAAGCCAAAAGCTAGCGCTCTTATTGTTTCCAATCATGGTCGGCACACAACGGAACTCATGACTACAAAAAATCTATTGCACAAGTCTCATAGTAACAATGAGCAACCGAAGAAAGGTATCAGTGGGGGTACTATTTTCTTCGAAGATGCTTCTTACACCTCGTCAGTAATATAGCATAAGTTCCCTGAGCGCGCTTTTTCTATTACAGCCTTATGGCTTGATTGCCTGGTTATCGGAAACACCGTTGATATTCTCGACAAGTGGAGTACATAACACTTTTCGGCCCTTGACGGAAGAGGGAGAAGCCGACGGTCGGTTAAGACGCGTTTACAGTTCGGGTGAACACATATATGATATAAGTACTTTGGTACATACAATCATTATACATAAAATTCTTTTACCCCAGTCATTTGGGGGCTCTTAAATTAGTATGAGCCGTTTTTGTTAATCGCTGCACAGTCTTTTTCTACCACTCCTTTCTCGACTCAGGTGTATGATCAATAGCCGGGTAGCCTGGTTTCTCTCTAAAGCCGCTCGCGTTTAGTTTGCTAAATTGGCCTGATAAACACTGCGCCTTCGGGATAGGGAGGTTGAAGCCGAAGCCTAGGCCACTTGAAGTCTAGAGATCTGATGTGTCATGTCAAAGCAAGACGAAAGTACAATTTTAAGACCAATTTCATATTGGCACCAAAACAGCTTGATTCAATCTAGACGTAAAGTTTTTTACGCATGTTTGTTGGCCCTTTTTTGAGCTTATAACATCTTTCACCTATTTTATGTTTCAGGAAGCGGGACATTCTCTTGGTTGAGGTGTTCGGCGTGAAACTCTTTTCTAAAACTACAGTTCGACATCTTTCCTGCTGAACTCCACCTCGGTATTGTCAAAACATACATGACAGTTGAACTTGTTCCCGAGGAGGTACGATCCTAGGGTCAGCCATTTTGCCCAACCCAATTCTCGGGGCTACTGCATTGACAATCCGATGCAGAAAATTCAAGTGCAATATAGTTTTCGAGGAGATTAAGATCCTCAGGTTGGTCAGCCGCACCCAACTTGAGTCTCGAGAACTTTGCACGCCGCTTTTTGTGTCTGAAGTATTCTGCCGAGCTAGGAGTTAATCCTCAGACCGATTTTGTGAATCAACCTGAGTCTCAGGGGCTACTGGGATCAGCGGTCTTATGTGATCCTTCAGGTGCATCTCGGTTTTAGACCGATACACACCTTAAGGGCTACTGGCTATATATCTCGGTAGAGAATAAATTGCACCAATCAAAAATATTGACAAAAAATCGGCCCGCAGTGGGGTTGGTGCACCACCTCGGAAGCAGTCCAACATAAATCTCGGGCGTCAGTGGCTGGCTCAATAGAGGGCATTTCTGGCATTAAGCTCGGCTAAACTCCTTCAACTTTTTTGAACCATGGTGATCTATGACACCTCGGATATAGTCCGGCGTTGGAGCTCGGATACAGTCCGGTGCTGGAATTCGGATGTAGTTCGGCGTTGGAGCTCGGCTGTAACAATACTCTTTGGATACAGTCCGGCGGTGGAGCTCGGATACATTCCGGCGTTGGAGCTCGGAAGCGATCCGGCGTTGGTGCTCGGCTGCAAAAAATACCTCGAATGCAGTCTGGCGTTGGAGCTCGGACGTAAGAGGACACTGCCGCCCGGTAACAACTTCAAACCCGAGGTGTGGCATAAAAATACAAGGCATTGATAAAGGCCGAAAACTTAAAGGGGCTCCTCGGATACCCGACGTGTAAACTCTTCGGATGCACTTCGGCGATCCTCAAGATTGAAGATGAGAAGATTTGTTGAACCAGTTTTTCAAGACCGACGACCGAAGATGAAGAACAATTCGGAAGAATCGAGGAGCGTCCCCAACTTGAAGACCGGTTCAGGGGGCTACTGACGGTGTCCTAGACTAGGGGGCACTCACCATGTCGTCTCCCGACCAGCTGGATTGGGCCAAGGACCCCCCATGGAGGTTCACTCATGGGCCACTTCAGGCAGCCCATGGCACATACAAGGAAGATCCCACGAGACTTGGCGCACAAGACAAGGACTCTCCTAAACCCTAGGCCTCTGGTGTGTTATATAAACCGAGGCCAGGCTAGTCAATGGACAATCTAATATTCATTACTACAATCTCGTGGTAGATACATGTACTATGTACAACACCCATATCAATACAATCAAAAGCAGCATGTAGGGTATTATCTCCTCGAGAGAGCCTGAAGCTGGGTAAAATCCCGTGTCTATGTTACCATCGCTCCAAGACGCCTAGCTTAGGATCCCTACTATGAGATACGATGGATATAGAACTGACAGTCACCGTCAACCGCGCAGGGAGGGATGGTCGTGCACCACCTACGTCGATGGGCCCGAGAAGGACAGGGGAGCCCCTCAGTGGCAGCGGCGAGCTTGCTGACGGAGAGGGAAGGAGCAGGAGAGGAGGATGGGAGCGCGGCGGCGGCTAGAAGAGCGAAGGAGAGGGGCGCTACCGTGAGTGGAGGCTAGCTGCTAGGGCTCTAAACCAATCGGGGGTCCTCCTCACACATACATGAAACCCAACCATCCACACAATGGCAATCACAGCCACACACGTGAAATGCCACGAATGTCCTCTGCGGGGCAGCTTAATTTTAGGCGGGCCACTCGTCTTTGACCGCGGAAGGACATCACCAGGCACCGCCGGCCCACGAATGCCAGGCCCCATAGTTCAGCCAGATAAGGCCAAAATCCCGAAGTGTATTTGTTTTTTACTATTCATTTCTTCAGACCTGATATTTATCTGACGGTCAAGAATCACTGGAGGCCCAGTCATATGGCTAGAAAGAATCGCATCAAGCTCGAGATCCGACGGCCCAAAGTTGCTAAGCTCTGAGAGAGCCCGATATCAGATGGGAATCTAACTACGGGATTTGTTTTTTACTATTCATTTCTTCAGACCTGATATTTATCTGACGATCAGGAATCACTGGAGGCCCAGTCAGATGGCTAGAATCGCATCAAGCTCGAGATCGGACGGCCAAAGTTGCTGAGCTCTGACAGAGCCCAATTTCAGATGGGAATCTAACTATGGGATTGCTCCGGATTGCTTAGGAGTGGTATATGTAGTATCCAGGACGGAAGCCTCATAAGGAATGTGATGATTATTAAGGAGATATGTGATATTATGTGATCTGCGCCTGAAGTTATGTTTTTTTTGCCGGGGCCTGAAGTTATGTTCAAACACGAATTTTTGGAGACAAATGTACGTGCTCATAATTTAGAAAGGAACTCATTAGATTTAAATCATGGACGCTATGTGTGGCTTCTGGAGCCCGGACTGCGTAAACTTTTCTGTCGATTAATAAAGTCCGGGTGTGTTTCGCTCAAGAAAAAAGTCGATTCCAGCCTTTTGGGCATTGCCATCATCTTGCTCGGTTAGTACTGTGTAAGGGCCTCTTTGATTCGTGGGATTATCAAAATACAAGAATACAAAAAACAGAGGAATAGAGTGTCATGTTTTCTTGCCCTCTGCAGGATATGAAAGAGTGTTTCATAGCATATAGGAAAAACAATGAAATCCAACAAAGCGGTTTGAGTCGATGTAAATTTTCCTCCAAAATGTTGTAAAAATGAATCCTATAGAAAAGTTCCTAAGAATTTCAATCTTATGAATCAAAGTCCTAGGAAAAAATCTTAAAGATCCTAATCCTCCAAAAATCGTATGCAATTCCTTTGTATCAAAGGAGCCCTAAATAGCAAAAATGTAAAAATAAAAACACTACCATTAGCGCCAGGTTTCAAAATACCACAGGTTATCTTATTTTCCTACAAAAATACACAAATTCCATGGCAGGGCTTCACGGATTGCACTAAATTAGAGTTTCAAGAAACCATTGCTTTTATTTTTGGGTGTAGCTAGGAGTCGACTGAGATTTAATAAAGTCTCAATCAAGTTACATACTAGTATATAAGTAGAAAAAAGAAAAAGCTAAAAAGAAAATTCTGCACGAATCATCACGCAAGATCAAACGAATATAGCATGGACTGAGACATAACCAAGTCTCAGTCGACTGAGACTTAGCAAAACTGTTTATTTTTTCAAGAAACACATCGATCCAAAACATTGCTTCACAAATATTTATGATTTATGTTCCCAAAAGAATAAAAAATCTACTCCATGATTATTTTTGGGTCTTAGTACTAGATTACTTGGTCAGCGTGGCAGATGCCTCCTCCTTGCCCCTGGATTCTAGCTTTGCCATCATGCGTTTGAACCCGTTTCTTAAAGACACAATGGCGCCTATTCCCGGCGCCGAAAGAAACTCCTCACAAGCATTCTTGAGCCCCTCGCAGAAGTGCTGATCCGCAACCGCCAATGTACTCGTGACGGTGTGGACGTTGATGCTTTTCGACAGCTCCTCTTCACACATCACCTTGAGCCTATCCAGCCCGTACCGATCTGCCGCGACTAGCAAGTGCTGCATGGAAGCAGCATCGCAACCTTTCTCGTCACACGGGGGCAGCGAATCCATGTAGATGTAGTGAAGAAGCATCTCAAAGATGGCCGGGTCCATGTCGATAACCTCTATGCACCGCGTCTCCTCGTCCATCATCGGGCCAAAGAGCTGTGCGTCGAAAACCGGCGACTGTGCGGCTAGCATGAACCTGTGCGCACTGAACTCCCTGCCGCCCACGAGCAGCGTGACGTCTGCGCCCTTCCCGTCCTTGAGGGTGCGCTCGATGTTGCAGGGCAGCTTTGACGGTGGAACTACGATGAGATTTCTTCGGCACTCCGTGGGCGGTTCCTTGATCACGGTGAGAACGCACCGTATAGTCAGGAGGTGAGATGAGGATTTCAGCTTGGATTTCTCGGCGAATTTCGGGAAGCCCATGTTCGGAGCTTCCAGAGAAAAGATGTGCGCTGCTACGTAATCCTTGTTGATTTCCTGTGCATTGCCTTGACCGTCCAGCAGGGTTAAGGTGAATTTTGTCCTCACCTCGTCCTTCCCCTTACTGAGACAACACAAAAAGGCTGACGCGTTGCCGGCAAAGTCCTTCGTGCTTCCGTCCGGGTAGAACATGATATTCCAATCGTAGCCGCCGACCCTGAATGTGCTTGAGGTGATGTACTTCCCGACGCCCAGGCCCTGGAGCAGCGCATAATTGGTCACCTCGAAGTTGTGTGCGGCGCTCTCCGTGACGCATATGGACGACGTCTCCGGTAGCCGGAGGCCTTCGCCGTGATTAACTGCAGCAGCAGCAGCCGGGTTCTCAGCCATGCCAACGAGAACGTCGCCAACAGTTGTTCCAATGATCTCTATATTCGGCTCGCCACGGAATTTATACAGGGAGGATCGTTGTTTGGTACCGTATAATGATTCCAGCAATCATTGCGATTCCTTTTCTGATACACGTAATAGTTTCCTTTTCAAATATCACTACGATTCGGTGTGCGCCGGCCGTAACCTTCTCCAACTGCCTGACACTCCTCGGAGATTTAGATTAGTACGATTGCTTTCATTATTCCTCCGAACTGAAACATCAGTGATGGATACGGAATTACGGACTCTCGGATTCGTCATAGTTTTTTTTTTTGGCGGGGTGAAAGTAATTTATTCCATAGTAATAGGGTTACAATCAAGAGGCAAGAGGCAGAAGTTCATCAAATATGGTAGTCCTAGTTGAAGCAATACTGCAGTGCTACTCTCAGTGCGACAACGCTAGTCGATCTACTACCCTATTTTGTTCCCGTTTAATCTTCATGGGAATAAAAACTCTCAATGTCATGAGGCAATGTTTAATCTCAGAGACAAGATGGCCATAAGTTGATTGTACCAAACCCTCTTTAGACAAAGTAGCCAGTGCCTCCGACAATCATTGGTCCTTTCGAATGTTGTATTGCTAGTGTCATGCCTTGCATTAACCATGAATTTCGGCCTTCAAAGCATCACTGCAGTTGAATAAAATCCTATACACGGCAAATATAACACTTCCGTCAGGCCTTCTTCTGATCCGCTGCTAAAAACGCCTTGTCAACTGACAAGGCCACCTATCTAGCCTGTTGTGGCGGCCATCTTAGTGCAGGCTCGGCCTTTTGCATTTCCTTGACTAGTCCAAAATCATTTAGTGTTATCTTGCCTTTCATAATTTCGTCTGCACTGAATACTCTTACCAGTTGCAATGATCTCATATAGAATTGAAGAAATTCAGCGGAAGCCTCCGGTGGAGAAGCATCTTTACTGTAAGTTGGAATACACCGGGCGGCTCAATGCCAGCCACGGTACAGCCTCCCCGTATATATATGCATCCAGAAATTACAGAGTTTGTGTACAATACGAATAGACCAACAGAGATGGAAACTATCTATTTGGTAGCTACTTGAGTTGTACTCCACGTTCCTCATCATGATGCGGCACCGTCAGATGATCTGACTCTAACACGCCCCCGCAGTATGAACAGGGAGAGCTCTCGACCTGAAGACTGGAGCGAAACTCTTGAAAAAGAGTAGTAGGCAAACCCTTCGTGAAAATGTCCGCGAACTGCGAGGACGAGGGTACATGTAAAACGCGCACGTCTCCAAGGGCGACCTTCTCCCGAACAAAGTGAATATCCAGCTCAATATGCTTGGTCCGCCGATGCTGAATGGGGTTGGCAGACAAGTACACGGCACTGACATTATCACATTAGACAATGGTGGCAGACGAGATCGGCCGTTGAAGTTCCTGTAGGAGCTGCCGAACCCAACATGACTTTGAAACAGCCGCGGCTACTGCTCTATACTCTGCCTCGGCACTAGAGCGGGAGACGGTCGTCTGTCGTCGTGCGGACCAAGAAATGAGAGTATCACCGAGGTACATGCAAAATCCAGACGTAGAGCGTCGTATATCCGGGCAACCAGCCCAGTCCGCATCTGAGTATGCAATGAGAGAGTGAGAAGAAGTGCGATGCAGAGAAAGACCAAGGTCAAGAGTGCCATGGAGGTAGCGGATAATGCGTTTTATGAGAGATGGGGTTCTCGTGGATTGTGCATATGGAGACATACTTGTTGCACGGCGTAAGCAATGTCAGGACAAGTGAGTGTAGCAAATTGTAGTGCGTCGGCTAAGCTACGATACTGAGGATGATCAGAAACAGGGGATCCAGATGTGGACGAGAGTTTTGCTTTGGTATCAATAGGTGTAGTGACGGGATGACAATCACGCATGCCTGCACGATTCAAGATGTGAAGAATGTAGTTTCGTTGAGAGAGGTGGAGGCTACTAGATGTACGTGTGACAGAAATGCCAAGAAAGTGTTGTAGGGGGTCAAGATCCTTCATAGCAAATTCGCGTGCCATGGCATTGGTGATAGTAGCAAGAGTAGATGGGGTGGAGGCAGTAAGAATGATGTCATCGACATAAAGAAGGAGATATGCTAAGTTGGTGCCCTGATGAAAAATGAAAAGAGAGGCATCGGATTTGGATTCAACGAACCCAATGGAGCGCGCAAAGGTGGCAAACCATTGAAACCATGCCCGTGGAGCTTGTCTTAAACCATATAGAGATTTAAGAAGACGACACACATAAGTGGGGTGACGTGGATCAACAAAGATAGAGGGTTGTTGACTATAGGCAACTTCATCAAGACGACCATGGAGGAAGGCATTTTTTACATCAAGCTAGTGTATGGGCCAAGATTGAGAGATAGCAATAGAGAGAACAATGCGAATAGTGGCAGGTTTAACAACAGGATTGAAGGTTTCATCAAAGTCTATTCCTGGTTGTTGGGAAAAACCACATACCACCCAACGAGCTTTGTGAAGAGCGAGAGAGCCGTCGGCGTGATATTTATGGCGAAATATCCATTTACCACTCACAATGTTTGCACCGGGAGGAGCCGGGACAAGAGTACATGTTTGATTTAGGATGAGAGCATCAAACTCTTCTTGCATGGTTTGACGCCAGTTGGAATCGCGTAATACCATAAGATAGTTGTGTGGGAGTGGAGAAGAAGCAATAGCGGAGAGGTTAAGGCAGTCGATGGGTGGAGGAAGCCGACCAGTAGTGGAGCGTGTACGATGTAGTGGAGCGGGTGGTGGTATGGGGGTAGGTGATGGCGAGCCAGGTGGGGTGGACTGCACAGGTGGGCTAGGCTGCACCCCGTGAGTGGAGGAAGATCCCAGTGGTGGAGAAGCGAGCGGGGTGCTAGTAGGCGGTGTCGAAGACGAGCTAGAAGAAGGAGGCATTGGTGGCGGGGTGTTGGGTGCATGCATATCGGGCACATGCATACCGGGTGCGTGTGGAGCGGATGCATGCATGGCCGGGGGACGAGCGGATGGATTGGTTTAGGTGGGTCAAAAATTTCGGTACAACGTGGTAGATTAGGAATTGGGGCGAGTGCATAAGGGAAGGAGGACTCGTCAAAAACTATATGTCGAGAGATGATGATCCGTCATGTGGTTAAATCAAGACACCGATAACCTCCATGGCGTGTCGGGTAGCCAAGAAGGATGCATTTTGTGGAGCGTGGGGATAGTTTGTTGGGAGAGGTGGATGTAGTGTTAGGCTAATAGAGGCAACCAAACACACGAAGTGAGTCATATGATGGTGATGAACCAAGAAGAGTTTCATACGGTGTGAGAAATTTGGTAGACGATGTCGGTCTAATGTTTATAGGAAAGGTGGCAGTGTGTAGTGCTTCAGCCCAGAAGGATGGGGGAAGAGAAGCTTGAACCAGAAGGGTACATATGGCATTGTTGGTGGTGCGAATAGCTCGTTCAGCCTTGCTGTTTTGTTGTGAGGTGTATGGACAGGAGAAGCGAAGAAGAATACGATGAGAGGCATAGAAAGTATCTATTTTCGTATTTCCAAACTCTCGTCCATTGTCGCATTGGAAAGCTAAAATAGATAGATTAAATTGAGTGCGAGCGTAAGCATGAAAGGTGAGAAGTGTTGCATAGACATCAGATTTCTTGCATAGTGGGAAAGTTCAAAAATAATAAGTGAAATCATCGACAATTATAAGATAATAGGCAAAGCCAGACGTACTTGGAACGGGAGAAGTCCAAGGTCACAATGTAATAATGCAAAAGGTTTGTTAGTATAAGAGACAGATGGATAAAAGGGTAATCTAACATGTCGCCCGAGCTAACAAGCATGACAAATGGATGACATGACTTTATTGTAGGAGATATGGCGAGAACTTTGAAGATGCTTCATGGTGTGATGACCGGGGTGCCCAAGTGCTTCGGCGGGTGTGGGACGACATACTGGGTATAGTGGTCCAGAGCTATTGCATATAAGAATCTCGATCCTTGTGGGAAGTGCCTTCACAGAAAAACCCCAAGGGTCAAATTCTATCGAAACAAAACTATCAGTGGTAAGTTTGCGAATGGAAAGAAGATTTTTGATGATATATGGAATGACAAGAACATTGTTAAGATATAAATATTTCGAAAGATAGGGCAGGGTGTGTGTGCCGATGTGAGAGATGGGAAGGGAGGCACCATTACCAACAGTGACAGTGTGAGCAGAGGAGGGTTGGGAGGAGGAGAGAATACCATGATCGGATGCCATATGGGATGATGCTCCAGAGTCCATTTACCACTCTTGATTGCGAGGAAGCTGCATGTTCTGAAGTGCGTTCAACAAGGCTGGATCAAGTTGCTGGTGACCTCCTGGATAGCTTGTAGATGGTGACCGCATCATGCCACCGTTGTTGGTGTGTTGCTGACCATATGCAGTGTACGCCTGGAAAGGAGTAGCGCCGGGGTGAGGACCAAGTACGCCGGCGTTGGGAGCACACCAGCAGGGCTGCCAGGGTGGAGAGGGAGAATGCTGCTGCTGTTGTTGAGCCCGAGTTGGGAGGCCAGTCCATGGGTTGAACATCCAGGGATTGTCGCGGCCTTGTCCGCGGCCGCCTCCACGTCCGCGGCATCCGCAGTTTCCACTGCCAAGGCCAGGGTTCGGGTAGGGCGTGGTGGAGTCTGAGGCGACGTTGCGTGAGTCGCTGCCATTGTAGCCAGTGCCGCGGCCAGAAGGATCATGCTCCCCGCCAGCATGAGGGAGGATGCTATTGCCGCTTGCCCAGAGTGTGGTTGCCG